ACCCATACCTTTCTTATCATCTCTGTTTCTTTAAATTAAATATTGTTCGAAAAACCCAGCTGCACTTGAGAGGTCAAAGTGCTTTAAACAACATCATTCATCCAAGCACTTTATTTATATGCTTAAGTGCTTTCTATCTAAAATTCAGACACACTCGTGCACTGAACAGACAGCAACTTTGGGTTCAGTATCTTCCCCGAGGATACTAAGGCATGGCTGTAGCAGCCAGGGGTTGAACCACCAACCTTCTGACTAGAAGGGGACCTGCTCTACCTGCTAAGGAATTGCTAGCCTTTAAAAGTAAAGTATTTTTACATAAATTGTTATGATGTTTGATTTAGTAACGCAATAATGTGGGTCCATCAGACCTGCTAATATTGGCTAAATAGCAAAAATATGAACACAATACAGAGGTTAAGTAAAACATTTGATTTTGTCATTAGAGGCTCAGGCTCAAATACAGGCACAGCTTTTCTTTGGTTTATAGCAGAGGTCCCCAACCCCCGAGTCACAGACCGACACCGGGCCACGAGAGTTGAAGATCACGTGTGAAATTTATGTTTTTATTTTTTATCGTTTTTATCATTAACTCTGTTTCCCTGGGTCTTTTCCTGTGTATTATGATTAAATTTTCTTTTTGTTGGTGCCGGTACTGGTTTTATTTTGTTGCATTTATCTGCAACACCTTAAAGGCCTGTCCGTGAAAATAGTCGGACATAAATCGGTCTGTGGTGCAAAAAAGTTTGGGGACCGCTGGTTTATAGTAAATGCAAATCTTCTGACCATCCAACTAAGAAGACACATAGTCAACCCAAAAAACTTAATTAGACAGTGAAGCTGATTGAAGAAGGGTTTTAAGTGTGACCAGTAACTTTATGAAGAACACTCGGGGGGCTTGGTGCTATACTGACCATCTAGATGAAGCAGAACTTCTAATTATAGTTCTTCTGTTTGCACTCAACCTCTCACTGCCAAACATCTGTAGTTTTTGGTTTTCACACTGTGGCCTTCAGTGCCAGCAGGACTGGCACATTAAGACAGAAGTGCTGTTTCTAGATTTCTGGTGAGATGCAAAAAGACAAGTTCCGTAAAATTGCCTCCTTCATTCCTGTGAACTTCTGTCACTTGAGATCGGCATTCCTGAAAGAGTGTATGAGTGGAGACATGAGACATGAGCTGCAAGATGGGAAGTGTTGGTAAAATCAGTTTAATAAGTATGCAAGTTTCTGCTTGAATGATTAAGTGAAATTCTAGGTTACCTAGCAGGGAAAAACATTACCTTGCTTGTATTAAGGCTTTTTTCCAATTAGAAGATTTAAAGTCCTGCACTCTTTGGTCCTTTCAGTCATGGTGAAGCCCAAATGCAGATAAGGTGATACCAAAAAAATAAAATAAAAAAAGGTTCAAATGTTATAGGGTTGGTCTTCAATGCCTCCATCTTGAAAAAGCACACCATTCTGCAGCAGCACTTTGCAGTGCATGCTACATGCCAGACCCAGTATCTCTATTTTTTTGTCTAATGGAGTCTTTCTTATTTTTTTGCTCTTCTTTATCTCTGCCTGTTTGTCCCTCCTTAGTTTTGACATGTCTTTTCCTTTCTCGTCTGTGTGCCAGTTTGCACCCTCGCACAAGCTTTTCAGCACTTCTTAAGGTCCTTGAGGAAAACAGAATGAAGGGGTCACTGTTCCTCCTCCCTGTCAAAAAGCAGATGCACACATGATTACTGGCCAGTGGAGTGTCCTAACCACTCAGACAAAATGCAGCATTAAAAATTGACTCATAGATAGCTACTGTAGTCAGTATACCAATTAGTTATTATAGTAATTAGTTATTGTTAGTGGTGGAAGAAGAGGTAAAACAGTTTATTACACTGCTGTGCCATTTATATTGCATATTGAAATTGATTTGCAACTTACAGCCTTTAAATTTCACTGCTTGTCAGTCGTAGGATTTGTTTACAAAAACAGTTTGTTGACTTTCATCCTGTTTCGCTCCACAATGATATTTGAACAGCATCCTGCTGGACTGCATTGCAGAGCATGGTTGACCTGTGACTACCTCCCTCTTACTAATGCTCTAAAGCACCCCTGCAGAAATAACAGAAAAAGTTGTAATGGGGTAAATGCTCTGTTTCTCCACTGCTCAAACAAAAAACACAACTAAGAACACACAAATATTTTAGAAATGTGTCAAAAAAAAATTGCTTAAAACTAAAAATGATTTTTAAATAACAATCTGAATACATGTTTCTGAATTTGTTGGGGACCGCTGCCTTAAGTGATATTATTTTCACGTACTAGTGTATATTACTGTATTTTCATACACACAAGTAAAGCCCAAATTAAAGCGACTGACAGGTTGAGCAAATAACAGCACTGGCAATGAGATTCATGTGTACCTAGCTTAGGTAGCAACTTTGAGTGCCAGCTGCAGTATCCAGCAGTCTTCCATAGCAGTACAGTTGGTCTTATCCACCCTTTATTTTAACCAGTAGTAAGACAACTAGTTACAAGGAAATACAGCTATATAATGAGGTCGGAAGTCTGCGTTTCCATAACTGTAAAATCGGTCTTAGCTGTGTGGCATGGTAAAATGTGAGACGTGGAATTAGCACTATGGCCTGGCTCATAGCTGCAGATGGAATAACATGCTAGAGATTACACATGTAAGCAGATCAGCTTGAGTCCTAAGGTGATTAGATTGAGAATATCAAAAAAGGAATTATGCTCAAACAAAATCTGCATTGAATCATTGACAGCGATATTGACATGTGCACTCGGATAGACTGTAATTGGCATGAGTTCAGTGGGGGCAGGGCAGTTATAACACAGCTTAACTGTATTTCTGTTGGAGTATGGTGCCAGTTGTCTTGTATGATCATCCCTCCTTATATTCTAGCCAGCAACGGAGCTAAAGAGGATTTTAAAAAATGGTATTAACCAAATGCACCATGTCAGGCACACTGATGTTTAATTCTTAAAAAACAAAAATCACACTTATCAAAACTCTGAAAGGAAGGGTTTTTTTTAAGAGTTTATCTTGCTCAGATGGCTTAGCTGTGTTAAAATATTAATTTATCAACTGTCACTACACTTACTTAATTTAATAAATCATTGTTACTGCAGAAACTGTCAAATCTGCATCTCACTTTTTAACTGAAAGCATTAATACTTTTAAACTGTTCATGCATTTATAGCACTCTTATGAGTGTGTGAGCGTGTTATCTTTCTTGGTATGTCTACCAAATAAGATTTAGAAACTATGACAGCAATTACAGCTTCTCTGTTTTTAAGTCTTGGTCGATCCTCAGTAAGTACCTGTGAAAAGCTATATTCGAGTCTCAACAGCAAGTATACGTGTTGTGTAAGGTTTGGCCTGGGCTTTGGGTGGGCCCCTCATTGACAATCAGACTTTTCTTAAAGCCAAACCTGGTTTTCGTTTGCCCTGAAGGCAGGATTTATGGTGTGCTTCTCAAATGTTTATCCTCCTGGGAGGACTTCTGAAGCTCTGTTAGAGCCATCATTCAGGGCAAGTTTGGATACACAGTTTGATCAGACATCCAAGAAGTTTGGTGCCTTCAAATGTCTTTGACAGTTATCGGGGTCACTGTTCTCCTAGGAACACTTTTATACACAAGCCTTGTCCCAATTTGTCCAAGTTCATTTGCTGACTTCTACAGTAAGTTCTGTGGACTTCATTAATTGGGTTTTGAGACTCTAAATGTGTTTGCTAATGAGACATTTCTAGTTTTAACATTTAGATGTTTTTTTGTAAATGTATTCATCTCCTAATGATAAGGTATTAGGAGATCTGGGAGAAAACTTCCTATTGTCAAGCTGCTCCCAGTCTGCTTCAAGTCTGCAAAAAGTAAAGAGGTCTGCATTCTGAGATAAAACAGAGGTTTAGAGATCAGAACGCCACTAAATGTAAACAGATTTCTCTGAAATACAGTATCACATTTTTTCCCAACTTAACTAACCCTAATCCTTAGTCTGACAGCTAACAATGCAGAATTCTGATGTGTACTGATCTTTGTACAGCAGGTCTTTAGTTGTTTCTTTTCTCTTCCTGTTCATTCCCCAGTTCTTGTTTTTGCTGTGGTAAGCACTCAGTTGGGACTTAAAAAGCAAAAAATATAATTCATATTTGTCATTAGGGTCAAATGCATTAGGATTTTAAAGGATCCTTATAAAAGTTCAGAAGCCGTAAAACTGTAAAAGCTGAAGGAGACAGAAATATGGAAAAAGTGACCGAAAAGACGAACAGTTATTTTGCCGTCTGCCCGCTTTAATCTGCAGTAATGGATTTCTAACTGTAAAAATATTATGCTTTAAAAACTGTATGTTTATATCTCTGAATTCAGTTAACTGTGTAATGACAAAATGTCAGCTTTGTTGCAGTTTATTTATTTATTTGTAAAACTTAAAGAAGATTACCCAAATAAATACAAAATACCCTGTTTAGGATCATTCCAAAGCATCTCCATGCTAGTGTCCCAGTGCTGTCAACGACTTTGTTTCTCATTTGTTCTTGAGTCTCTTTAGAGCCTATTTCACTTTGTATTTAAGTGATTCGACAGATCTGTCAGTAATCAGGGCTGTGTGTGGCTAGTGCAATTACTTTTTCACATAAGACCAGGTAGATTTACATATTTTTTTCCCTTAATACATGGAAATAAATCTGCATTTTGTACTTACTCAGGCAATCTTTGTCCAACAACAACTTAGAAATTCTTAAATTGTTTTTAAACAGTTCCATGAAAAAGTACTTTCCCCTGTCTTGATTTCTGACTTTTCACCACCACGTTCACTGGTAGCCACTGATTTTATATGACTTTTATCACATCACAATGGATTATTTCTATTCATTCTGTAAAAGAAGGTAGCAGCTAGAGAAAATAGCAGCTATGCAGGTTTTTCTTTGTTTTATTGTGTATGTTTCCTACCTTTATTAATTTTATTGTTCATATTTCCTTTCCAACCTCTGCTCTGTCTCTTCAGCCCCCCCAACTTTCACAGATACACCACCTCAGTACGTGGAGGCCAAGGAGGGGGGGAGCATCACTTTGACCTGTATAGCCTTTGGGAATCCCAAACCCTCAGTCAGCTGGTTGCGGGAAGGTAGTCTCATGGTCAGCAGTGCCAAGTATAAGGTAAATACTTTATATTCGTATCAGCTGTTTATTAAATATGTTACTATAGTCATGCTATGTTTAGACTAACAGTTGCAGGCACTGAGACCACTGTGTTTGTACGAAGCATCTGGCCTCATCATGCAAAGTCTACCAGCAAGGTGCCGACTCGACAGTTAAATATGTAAAAGTTTACTTGTTAGCAAACTGTTGCTTCTTTACACCAGTAGCTGATACGGGGCTACACCATCTTTTAGTTTCAAGTTTTAGTACAATCTGATATTGAATGTTTTTGTAGCTCCACATTTGGTCTCTACCAGTTTTGAGTGAGTGGGGTCTTTCACTTAGCTCAGTTTTCTTAGCATCATATATAAACAAGGAAAAAATGCCAAGGGATACTTCCACAGATGTCTAGTCTTGTAGTCTTAATCATCAGAGCAGAATTCAGAAGTCTAGTGAATATTGCAGACGTTATGGTTTTCTCCCACATGTTCTCTTCACTGTGAGTGTTTGTGTGTAGGGGGGCATGGAGCACACTGGCTGAGAGATGGTGAGAAGAGAAGCTAGTGTCACTCAAGTTGATGGCATCTCATTAGCCTGCAATAAAAGCTTCCCAACAAGCAAAGATGATCAGAAAGGTTGGATGGCAGGGAGCTTAGTGCTGGCTTGCAGGTCTGCTGGAGAGGAATAACATTTAAAACCTCTCTGGTGAAAGTCTGTTGCTGCCTTGAACGTCTCACATTGGTCACTTAAAAGATGTTTTGAGCTGTAACAGCATCTCGGGTCAGGCTGTTGTGACTTAACTTCTCAGGTTGAATAAATGCGTTCGCAGTCTTTAGATTGAGAGATCTACGTTTGAAATGGCAACATTCAATTAACAGACAACTCCTCAGCTTGACTCCTTGTTTCCTTACTACTTTCAACAATCAGAGATTATAAGATTCACTGTGTGTTCCAGCACTGGGAGTTTTTCTCAGTAACCATTATTCCATTCACACATAATGTAACAGAACTTTTATTTTCATTTAAAAAGAAGCCTTTTGTGATCGTTTTGTTGCTGTACAGTAATGAATCCTGCAAGAAGAACGGGAATGACTCCCTCAGTTTAGATCAATTATTTAGGTGACTGAGCTTTGTTCACAGGAGAGTTATACATATAAATTTGTCCCTCTCTCAGGCAGCAGCTTTCTCCCAAGTTAGTCACGATACTTTGGGCTGTTATAGACTGATAACAACCGTAAACCATGAGCATGTGCTAACACAAAGATGTGGGAGAGATTTTAATCTGAATAACAATTTGGTTTTGATATGAGTGGCTGCACTCTGATCTGATTTAGGAGAAAAATCTCTGAAGACAGATCTGGATGGTGAGCAGTGCTTTAATTTAACAAAATAAGTGGTAATGTGGTGTTGTTTGGGTTTCCACTGTGGAAATGGGCTGTTAGATGAAACTCCCAGGGATGGTTGCGGTTGCCTAGATTTCCAGCAGGTGGAGGGGTGCCAAAAATTAGGATATGCTCTCAACTCAAGTCAGCGATTCAGTAGGTTTTATGCAAGACAGCGACGATCTGGAAAAAATAAAGTCATTTTCCAAAAATGGGTTCTGCAGTTATTGCGTCTGATTTACTGACCCTTTTATTTGGTGTTCTGTTATTGCTAAGGTCATTGAGTGTCTGCCCCAAATAAAAAACTTTCACACTGATATTTTCTGTCTTCATGTGGGTCCTCAGATGTCTAACTAAGGAAGCACATAAAATGAAGCTGTATGTGGTCAGGAACCTGGATATTACAGGAATCATACAGGGATATGGGAATAACAAACATGCAATAAATAACAGGGATTGGTCTGCAAGTAGACATACTACCTGGCAGATGATGTTGATTGCAGGCATTTTTTGTTATAACAAACAACTTGCTGCCCTCTGGCCAGGTCTCATTCAGAAAAGACTTTTCACCTGGAAAAATCATTTTTTTCAGAGAGTGTTTCATTTTTTGGATTAACCCATGATTCTATTTTTGTTCTTGGTGACCGCTGAAGTTAAAGTTAATTTAGATAGAAGTTCAAATTAACTGCTCAAGTAAGTGCTTGGAGCCATTTGTAAATGGTTGCCAATTAGCAAGACTTGCTTCTATAAGAGGTTTGGCTGTAAAGGGAAATGTTTAACAGCCACACTGCATAACACAACATACTGCTCGAAGGACTTAAACCTAGCAGACCGAGTCAAAATCAAAGGAAGCTACTTTTTGATCTCGAATGGGTCTAACTCCTTGGCACTTTCACGACCAAATTCAAAGACTTTGATTGATTAGTTGCTTTTAACACTTAGGATTGTCTTGTTTCTGTACTGCGATATAGCACCAAATGACATCAACAGTCGCCTAAAGGCGCTTTATATTGTAAGGTAGACCCTACAATAGTACTTTCAGAGAAAAACCCAACAATCATATGACCCCCTATGAGCAAGCACTTTGGCGACAGTGGGAAGGAAAAACTCCCTTTTAACAGGAAGAAACCTCCAGCAGAACCAGGCTCAGGGAGGGGGCTCATTACAACAAAACTATTTGTCTTCTGGGTTTTATTCAGTACTGACGTTTAAAGTTACATGTTTGTGTGTGCGCTCAGGTGTCCGATGGGAGTTTGACGGTGCTATCCATCACCCGGGAAGATCGGGGGGCCTACATGTGTCGAGCCTTCAGCCCCCAGGGAGAGGCTATTCACACCACACGGCTGCTAGTACAAGGTAAGGAATTTTAAGGATTTCCAATATTGCATCTTCATTCTGTCCTGTGGTCCTTCCCTTGGTGATTTCATTAGGAGTTATGAAAAGTAGATGTTTTTTTTGTATTTTACAGTTTTACAGGGAATGTTTTTAAATAGACGAGTCCAAACATCTCACACCAAAATGAAAGTCAGTCATAATTGTTAAACTTGGTAACATTTTAGGATGTGGAAATATTAGAAACATTGTGGCTCCATAGTGTAGTGGTTTACACATTTGTCTAAAAAGATCCCTGATTTAGTCTTTAAAGAAAACCCAAATCCCATTTAGGGTTGCGTTAGGAAGGGCATGTGGTGTGAAAATCATCCAAATCACACACGCAGAGCTTCCTGCTGAAGCGACTCTTTGGGAATAAGGGAGCAGCCAAAAGTAAAAGTCATCAGTATAACATTGAAGTAGATTAGTGTCAGTGGTAACCAATTTACATAAAAGGTCAGATTTGCTTGAGCCGTGTCCTCCCCGGAAAGCAACATTTAGATTATACTTAGGTAGATTTGTGGCTCGTCCATCTGCTAATTCAAGTTTCAAGTTCAAGACTAACTAGCACAGTAGGGAAATATGGATTCAGAGCTAAGTGACATATCAGGACATTCTAAACAACGATGAGTTTTCTCAGCATAGACCAAACCTGACTAGACTCAAGAGAGCAGGTCATGAAGCTCTAAAACACTGGAAATTGGATCAGCTGTGCCTACAGTATTGGGAAGACAAAAGCGAGCACACCATCAGAATACAAATGATAAGGATGTTTGTAGAATTATTACACAAATGTATCTTTTCAGCCAAATTGTTAGGATGGACTTGCCATTGGTGATGAATCATTTTTCAATAAATTTAGAGCCAGATTGAAGTAAAACTTGCAACTTCACACTGACAAACATCTGTTAGCTCTAGCATATTTTAAAAGTTCACTGAGAAGTGTCAGAACAGGATTTATTAGGCAGTATCAGACGTGGGGAATATGCTCCTGCAAGATTGTGATTTGTGATTTTTCCTTTTTTTTTTTGAGAGAAAACATCAGTGTCACACTGTGAGACACTTTCAGTCCAAAAGCACACGTCCCCCTCCGTTACCTGTCACACACAGAAACTAAGCACATTGCAAAACCAGCCAAATTTGTTGGTCATTCATCTCAGAGCCTAAACCTCTGCACCATTTTCTATGCAAAACCATCCCCCACAGCAACAGACAGATAACAGCATACCTTCTGAGCTAACAGTGAGTGTCTATTTGGGTATATTAAACACTTGCATGCTTTGCTTTTCAGTGCTGTTTATGACACATACTTGCCATGTTGATCCTTTCACAATTTCATTGTCATTCTGGCTTGTTTTCTCCTGTCACTGCATATTAGTAGATCATCACATCGCGCAGAAAACTATGGTACATATACTTCTTTTGCTAAAAATAGCACCATTCCATCAGGGAAGCAGGATCAATCCATTTCTGTGGGTATGTGGGGGTAAATGTGGTATCAGCAGGTGGAGTTTGGATGGGCTCCCATAATGGCCAATCACGTCAGCTCCCTTTACTGCCTTTGAAATGCAGCACATGGTTTAATGATGGTCAGTCTATGGCTGCTTTGCTGGAGAAAACTGCTCTGCTCTCATAGATGCAGAGGCATAGCACAAATACATTACGTTGAGAATTTAAAAATATGACTTTGGGGCAGACAGATCTATTATTGAATTTAATTCTCTGTCTGGTTTTAAAGATAAAGTGATATTACTTTATAGAGGCTGGTGTTTTAACTGTGAGTTTGTGATCACGTCAGTGTTTGAATATTGATACATTTCAATGTGTGTAGATTCTACTGGAGAGAGCAGCAACTAAAGAAAGATGAGAATTTCTAGGTTCACTATGTTTAACACGTTGCTTCAGAAATAATCACATAAGTAAATAGCATGTTACCAGATAATATGCAAATATTATAATATCATAATTCAGTTTGCTGACGTGAAAACATATCAGATCACTGTGGCACATCCCCTCTTGTTTTCACTGGTCTCTAAACATCTGGAAACTGAGGCGAGTTGTTGGACTTTTGGGAAAGGAATGTTGCCCCATTCTTGCGTGATAGAGGATTCTAACTCCTCAACACTCCTGGGTCATCTTTGTCATATTTTTCATTTCACGATGCACAAAAACCGTTCAATTGGTGAGACGTCCGGACTACGGGGAGGTCAGCTTGTACCCTGGCTCTTCCACTACAGACCCATGCTCCTGTAATAGATGAAGTATAGTTTTGCATTGTCTTGCAGAAATATAGGAGGTCTCCCAGAAAAGCTGTAATCTGGATGGGCGTATATATTGCTCTAAAACCTGTCTAAACTTTTCAGCATTGATGGTGCCTTTGCAGTTATGGAAGTTGCTCAATTCACTTATGCACATGTTTCTTCATGTACTCGATGCATGGCGTTTGAACTGAGCCCTGATAACAAGCTGGATGGTCCCTCTCCTCTTTTATTCAGGACATTTGGCATGCATGTTCTCCAACAAAAACTCTACATTTCAATTTGTCTGACGAGAGAACTGTTTTTCACTTTGCCTAAGTCCATTTTTAATCGAGTTTGGTTTCTGAAGTTCAAGTTTCTGGATCATGTTCACATATAAGGTCTTCTTTTCACGAAAGACCTTTAACCCTATATTCATGGATGGCACACCAAACCGAGAACACATACAATGATTTCTGGCAGTGTTTCTGATCCCAGTTAGTTATTTCAATCACAGAATCATATATGATCTTAATGCAGTCCTGTCTGCTACTTTTTCAGCTAATTAGCTTTAGTAGCTAGCCATGGCTGGAAACTTGAATACGCAAGCAGAACATGAGTAATGATACGCCTGATACTCAACTGTTGATATATACTGAGCACTTGGAAAGCGTGTCTTCTGCCCACCTTTTTGTGCAAACTCACTGACATAACACAAACATGAACTATAGCATACATACATCCACAGACGACTTCTCTCCAACCCACAGGACTGAAAGTATCAGTTGTGAATGTTTATGTAACAGACACCACAGACCTCCCACCCAACCCAACCAAGGGCCCGCGCCCATGCCCTAAAAGTTCACAGCTGTTTTAGGTATTTTGATGTTAAGGTCAAACAGTGACATCTAAATTTGCATTTTGCCGAGATAATTGAAGAGTATCATGCTGCAGGATTAGCAGACATTTTTCTATTCACTGAGACATGCTGCTAGCATTGCTAATAATGTAAAAGTTTGCCCTAATTTAAAATGTGTTCATCTAAATCGGTCTTCTGCCTGGTGTAAAACAGTCACAACCTTTTTGATAGCAGCTGGCTGCTCCCTCAAGCATGCTATCACTTTCATATGAACACACCAGGCTGAGCAGAATTTAAATAGTGTATGATGCAGCAGTGTGTTTAGGAGTGAGACTAGAAAGACAATGCTTAAATTAGTTCAGGGACGTCTTACAAGTACATGGTACATCAGGAGCATGTGAGCTAAGATAAAGAAATAAGAATGAGTGGATGCTTTTTTTTGACTCATGCTCTAAATTAAATGTCAACTTCTGTATCTAAAGCAATTCGTCTGTCTCAGTCCAGGCTCCACCACAAAATCATCAAATATAAACCAAAGGAATCAGTAATTGTCTCTGATGTCTTCCATCATACACACGTCACTTCTCAATGTCGCTGGTATTTTTCTTCTGGAAATGAAAAGTAAATATCCTTTAAATGTGTGACTTTGCAGCAACTTCAGAGGTGATTTGTCTGACCAAAGAGGAAAAATAATAACACTCTAACCACAGCATCCCAGGTCATATAAGTTAAAGATCACTTCCCAACAGTTGAATGTACATGATCTGACCACTACTGAACTGAGGAAATTGAAACTTGATCTCTAATTGAACCATTTTCATTGACTACACACACAGGGAGTGAAGAAAATGAGTGAAGAAGAAATGCTTATTGCAACATAGGAAGCCCCCAACAGCCTAGACCTATTGCAGAGTAACTAAAGGAGGATTCAGATTCACCTGGTCCAGCCCTAACTATATGCTTTATCAAAAAGGAAGGTTTTAAGCCTAATCTTAAAAGTAGAGAGAGCGTGCCTCTCTAATCCAAATTGGGAGCTGGTTCTGCAGTAGAGCGACCTCATGCTGAAGGCTTTGCTTCCCATTCTACTTTTAAAAACTCTGGGAACAACAAGTAAGCCAAAGTATTCTGTTAGGATAATAAGGCACTATGATGATGTGACGATATGACTGATTATTGAAGATTTTGTATGCGTTTTAAATCCAATTCTGGATTTAACAAGAAGCAACTAAACAGAAGTTACAATGTCCCAATTGGTTCTCTTGCTGCAGAATTCTGGGTCAGTTGAAGAGTTTTCAGGGATCCTTTAGAACAATCTAATACGAAATTATACTAGTTCAGTCTCAAAGTAATAAATGCATAAACTAGCTTTCCAGCATCACTCTGAAAAATGATGTTTCTACTTTTAGCCATATGTTGGAAAGAAATGGAGGTAGTCCTGCATATTTGCTTATTGTGCATGTTGAACTACTCCAGGATTCTTCATAATATTACTGGAGGCCTTGGCTTCATGCTGTTTTAGTTCACTTCCCACATAGCTAAACCTATATCATTAACAGCCTATATATGAGCCAGTATACTTGGCTTGTGAGTAACCTGTTGATGGCATAGGCCCTACTACACCAACAACTCGTTTACCTTTCCAGTTGATTTTTCCCCCACTAGAGACCCCAGCGACTGTAGTAAAATGTATTCCAGGGACCAAAAAACACTAAAGTATATTTGAAACTGCTGGATAGGGATAGCATAGATTTGATAAGACTGGAATTCAAATCGGAATTCAAATCATAAGGGAACCTCTTAGTTCCCTTATAGCCTCTGACGGTGAAGTCATCTCTGTGCTCTGAATGTTCAGTGTCATTGATCCCAATATTTTACTATAGAGAACACAC